GCCCCCCCCCCCCCCCCCTTTGCTCCAAGGTGCCTGCGTTTCCTCTGGCCGCGGTCGCGGTCTCCTGTAGGCACAGCCGACCGGCAGGTGTCGGCACTGCTGACTCAGCAGTCCCTGTGCCAGCCAGCAGAGCACGTTTTCCAGGCCCCCCCCACACACTAGTAATGACTCGTGGTTCTTCCAGGGGAAGCTGGAAGTGGCAGGCGGGAGCTTCTCCTACTGAGGGATGTGGGGGGCACAGATCAGGGGGTGGGAGCCTCTGCGCTCTGTCTGAGCTGCCCAGCCTGGGAGCACCAATGCCAGGGGAGCCACCTGCCCTGTGCCCACTCTCATACCTGTTGGGCACTGATCTCACTCAGTCAGTTCTGCTCCCCGTGGTGAGTGGGTGCAGAGCGGAGGCACGTCCTTGCTCTTGGCGAGGGGAGACAAAGAGCCCTTCAAAACCCACAGGCATGTTGCTATTTCCAGGTGGCTGGGTGGGGGCACGGGGATGCCCTTGGGAGTGGGGGAGCCTGCCTGCGAGCACGAGGCCTCTGGGGGTTCACATTGCTTCCCCCTGGTAAGCTGAGGCCTGAGGGATCTCCCTGCGTCTCTCCCTGCAGAATGCGCCATGTATCCTCTTCGCTGCCCGGCATGCCAGCTCAGCCACAGTAAGTATAAGCCCCTTCTTTCCCCTCAGGCTGGTGAGGGGGTGGGGCAGGGGTCTTCTCACAGTCCCCTGGTCTGGGGGGGGATCCAGATGGATGAGCTGGGGGGTGCTGGCTGCCTGGCCAGGGGCTGCTCCTTCCTCCAGAGCCACTCCAGGGGCAGTGGTGCCTCTGTGGGGGTGGGGGTATTGCAGCCTCCCCACAGCAGCTCTCGCTCCCCTCCCCGCCAGAACCTGAAGGATGTCCTGGCCAACATGATCCCCAAGGAGCAGACGAGGATCAAGAGCTTCAGGCAGCAGTACGGCAACACAGTCATTGGCCAGATCACTGTGGACATGGTAAACAGCACTGCGGCTGGCTCGGGCCCCACATGGTGCTGCAGCCTCCGAGCCAGCAGGGGATGGGGCATGGGGGGCAGGTACCTGGCGCTGGTCTTTGCCAATCACTGTTATCTCCTCCCCAGATCTACGGCGGGATGAGAGGCATGAAGGGGCTCATCTATGAGACATCCGTACTGGACCCTGATGAGGTAAGGCCTTGGCTGCCCCCCCACAACCTTGGGTGCCCCTTGCTATCCCCATCCCCGCACTGAACCCGAGTCTCTACCCTCTCTCATTGCCAGGGCATCCGTTTCCGTGGATACAGCATACCCGAGTGCCAGAAGCTGCTGCCCAAAGCCCCTGGCGGGGAGGAGCCCCTGCCTGAAGGGCTCTTCTGGCTACTGGTAACAGGAGACATCCCCACTCAGGAGCAGGTAATGCAGGGCATGAGGGGTCTTGTGTAGTGGCACCAGGGCTGCGGGCACGAGTCCCTCCCACCATCCCTCTTTGCTGACACCACAGGCCGTGCCTCTGTCCCCAGGTGACCTGGCTGTCCCGAGAGTGGGCCAAGAGGGCCGCACTGCCCTCCCATGTGGTGACCATGCTGGACAACTTCCCCACCAACCTGCACCCCATGTCACAGCTCAGCGCCACCATCACTGCCCTCAACAGCGAGAGCAACTTTGCCCGTGCCTACTCAGAGGGCATCAACCGGGCCAAGTACTGGGAGGTAGGGGCTGGGCTTCCCATCCCTGGCACAGGCAGCGGGGGTGCCAGTAGGTGTGTGGACCCCTGTGGGGTGGGGTTAGTTCTGGGTGGGGGGCAGTGATCCCTGTAGTCATCTCCTGAGTGGGGGCGGGGGGGTTGGTTACTGTCAGAGCTGTGTAAGGGACCTAGGAGTCCAGCAGCTGCCTGCGCTTGCCCTGGTTTGTGACTGGATTGAAGATGCTTTCATATCAAGGATGCTTCAAGGTCTTTGAATGCAGACACAGGCTCTTGGTTTGCTAAAATGCAGCCACCTCTGGGGTGGGACAGTAGCATCTTTCAGCTGACAGCAGCATCTGCCATCGCGGGCAGAGCAGGGGCCCTCTGCACCCCCTGGCCTGGCTTGCTAATATATCCAGGAGCCTCCATCTCCTTAGGGTTGTGTCTGGCCCTGGGTCAGAACCTGAAGTTGGCATCACAATCCCTGGCTGGGCAGGGGTCAAGCTCTCAGGGAGGGCTTCACGGGTCAGCCCTGCCCAGTCTCCTCTCCCCTTCCCCTGCAGTTCATCTATGAGGATGCCATGGACCTGATCGCCAAGCTGCCTTGCATCGCGGCCAAGATCTACCGCAACCTGTACCGCGAGGGCAGCAGTATCGGCGCCATCGACCCTGGCCTGGACTGGTCGCATAACTTCACCAACATGCTGGGCTACAGTGAGCCCCAGTTCATCGAGCTCATGCGGCTCTACCTCACTATCCACAGGTGAGGCAGCCCGGGAGCCTCCTGTGCCCCTGTGGGCAGAGGTCTGTCCCCTGTGGAACATTGTCTCTGGCAGCATGATGGCAGGCTGGGCAGAATCAAGCTTTGCCTCTAGACTCATCTTGACTGCCAAGACACCATAGGGGCAGGTGCCACTGTAGCTAGCGCATTGCTGCTCTTCCAGGGCACTTCACTGCCCCTTGCTGTCTGTCTGAAGGTGTTATAGCATCTCCCCCTGGGCTGGGGTCTGCTCTCACCTCCCCCCACCCCTCTTCCCCTGCACTGCAGTGACCATGAGGGTGGAAATGTCAGCGCTCACACCAGCCACCTCGTGGGCAGCGCCCTCTCTGACCCGTACCTCGCCTTCGCTGCCGCCATGAACGGGCTGGCCGGGCCACTGCACGGCCTCGCCAACCAGGTGGGTGCTCCTCGCAAACCAGCGCCTGGTGGGGCAGGAGGCAGCAGCGTGTGGGTCTATACATGGATGCACATGTGTGCGCATTCCCGCGCTCACCCAGCCGTGCCCCGCAGGAGGTGCTGCTGTGGCTGACCAACCTGCAGAAGGAGCTGGGCCAGGAGGTGTCGGATGAGAAGCTGCAGGATTTCATCTGGAACACGCTGAACTCGGGCAGGGTGAGTAGCCTGGGCAGGGAGCTGCCTCCTTGAGCTGGGGCAGCCTGTCCCACTAGCTCTGACCCCCCACCCCCCCGGTGCTGCAGGTGGTGCCAGGCTACGGGCATGCGGTGCTGCGGAAGACGGACCCACGCTATACTTGCCAGCGGGAGTTTGCCCTCAAGCACCTGCCCAACGACCCCATGTTCAAGCTGGTGGCCCAGCTCTACAAGATCGTGCCCAATGTGCTGCTGGAGCAGGGCAAGGCCAAGAACCCCTGGCCCAACGTGGATGCCCACAGCGGGGTGCTGCTCCAGGTATGGCTCTCATTAGTGGGGGTGGCGGGTGGGGGGTCTTGAGCTCACCCAGCTCTGCCCTGGGGGCATCCAGCTCCTCCGAGCAGCCCCTCATTGCCCTGGGACGTGCCCCAACCCCCCTCTCCCCGCAGTACTATGGCATGAAGGAGATGAACTACTACACGGTGCTGTTCGGCGTCTCCCGGGCCCTGGGTGTTCTGTCGCAGCTCGTCTGGAGCCGGGCTCTCGGCTTTCCCCTGGAGAGACCCAAGTCCATGAGCACGGATGGCCTCATGCAGCTTGTGGGCTTCAAGTCGGGCTAAAGGGACGGGGCCCCGTGGCACCTGAGGGAATGTGGAAAGAGACAGTGCACCTCTGCGACAGGGTCCGAGCAGGCTAGAATTAAACCGCTCTGAGGCACTGTGAAGTTTCAGGTTATTTATGGTGTAAATTAAGGTTAAAAGAGAAGCCAGACCCATGCCCCCCCACCTCCCCCAGCCCCAGCTCCTGCCCCTAGCAGAGCTCAGCAGCCCCTACCACCCCTGGCTGCTGCCTGGGTCAGTGGGGGCCAGAGTCCTGCCCCATTTCCTAGCTCAGCCTTATGCCCCGCTGCCCCAGCATCCCAGGCCAGGAAAGGAGGGTTCTGCCCTGTAGGAATCATGTTGTCTTGTCTGCTGCCTAGTTAGTGCCCTGGCCCCTCCCCAGACTCCAGCCCCAGGGGAAGGGAGGGGGCAGGGGCACTAATTCCACCCCCCACCCCCCAGCTCTGTGTGCTCTGCCAGCTTGAGCCTTGGGCTGTAGCAGAATTGGGCCAAGCCCTCCCCTTCCCCCAGGCTTGTATGGGGAGGGGGTAGGCACCTCTAGGCTCCCTTCCCTAGTGGCTGGGGGGTGGGGTAGGGAGGCCCTGGCCCACCCTGTGTCCAGCTTGCTGCAGCACTCCATGTCCGGCCTGGGCACCCGCACTTGTGCTGGGCAGAGCCAGGTACCCCCTGACCTCATCCTGCTGGAGCTGAGGGGTCTCTGCCCTGCCTGGGGGCTCCGCCTGGCTGGCAGGCACAGGCTGCTCACAGAACCGAGCGGCCTCGGCCCCCCCAGCATGGCTCTGATACACTCCTCCCCGTGCCTGCTCCCCTGTGTGTGTGCACCCACCCCCCACCCCTGCCCGATCTGTTGCAGATTCAGGTGGTTCTGTACAAACGAGAAAATGCAAAATAAATGTTTTTATTAACAACCTCTGCTCGTGGCTCCACGTCGTCCCTCGGGGGAGGAGGGCCTGTGCCCTGCCCTTGGCAGTCCCAGGCCCGGGGTACTGAGCTCCAAGGAGGGGAGCCATGGGACAGCCACGCAGGGCTGTTCTTATCCATCCTGCTTATGGGGGAGCAGTGGACCTGCCTGGGGCAGCCCTTCCCCGCAGCCAGGCATCAGAGGGAGGAGAGGGGCTTCTAGGAGACCCCAGCACTGGCCCCTGCCCTCATCCCGAGCCCAGGCTCACCTGGAGCAGGGATATTGCCTCCCCACCCCTGGACCCAGGTGCTCTAAACCCCCTTCACCCCTGGGGGGTGCTGGAGTGAGCCCAGCTCCTCTACTCCCCCCAGCAAGAGGCTCCCAACTGTGCTCCGCTAACTTAAAGGGGCCCCATCCCAGCATGCTTTGCTGCACCTGCCCCTTTAAATCCAGCAGAATCCCCCGGGTGCAGCCCCATAGAGTTGGGCTGCAGCAAGGCAGGGGTGAGTAACAGGGACTCGGCACCACTGATGGAGGGGGGGCATATCCTAGGGTACCCCCCTGCTGGGGCTCCCTTAGAGCAGCAGGGGGTGTTCAGAACTGGAGTGGGGGATCCATGCCCTGGTCCGGGAGGAAGGGGCCAGGGGTGGGTCCCAGCAGCTGCAACAGCACTGGCAGCCCCCTCAAAGGACCATGAAGCTCTGGTCCCTTCTCCCCCCAGCACCTGTAGGGCCATCCCCTGTGGGGAGAAGCCAGGCACAGAGCCACCATGGTCCTGGAGCTGCCCCTTTGGGTGCTGGGAGCAGGGGGCCCCGGGCTGGGCCCCCCCCCCCC